CGCTTGCCTGTAGTTCCAGCTACTTGGAAGGCTGAGGCGGAAGGATCACCGGAGCCCAGCAGGTCGAGGCTGCGGTGGCCGGGAGCGGCCACTGTACTCCAGTCTGGGCAACAGAGTGAGACTCCAACTCAAAAAAAAGATAAAAAAAAATTATAACTCAAAAAAATCTGGAAAACATTTAAATAGGTATATTCAAAAGCAATCACCCTAAGGTTTCTGTCCTTTGAAACTGAATTTTGATTCAAGTGAAGATTTCACGGTGAGGGGAAGCAGTATTTTCAGAGTTCCAGGAACCAACCTGGAAAAAAAAAGAGTTTAACTTGAGACTCAACTCTGGCAGTTACAGGAGGCCCTGGACAAGTTTTTTGTTGTTTTTTGTTTGAGTCGGAGTTTCACTCTGTCGCCCAGGCCGGAGCGCAGGGGACGCTAACGACCACCGACCACTGCTGCCTCCACCTGGGCTCTGGTGAGCCTTCCGCCTCAGCCTTCCAAGGGGCTGGAACTGCAGGCGTGCGCCATACACCCGGCTAATTTTTTGATTTGTTGTAGAGACGAGGTCTTGTTAAGTTGCCCAGGCTGATCTCAAACCCCTGGACTCAGGCAATCCTCTCGCCTCGGCCTCCCAAAGTGCTGGGATTTTAGGCGTGAGCCACCGCGCCCTGCCAGCTCTGGACAAGCTAACTCATACTGAGAGCCTTCGTTTTCCCAAATGTAAAAATATTATTTCACGTCCTTTCGACAGATCTGCCTGCATCACAGGGATGTTAGGAGGATCCGGAGAAAATTGAAAGGTGGGAGGCGTTGCTGTGCTTATCACCCCAAACTCAACATTGAAATAAAAATTCTGCAGATCCCGGTGCTTTGGGGGCTGGCATTCGGAATAATTTGGAATAATTTTTGTTGCTGTCGGACCCTACCTCTAAATTTATCAGTAATCTAGGGCAGTGGTTCTCCGGCTTTAGCACCCACTGGAATAAGCTGGAGGGTTTGTAAAAAACTACAGATAATCGGGGCCCTAACCCTGGAGTTTCTGATTCCGTCTCTGGGCCCCGGAATTTGCCTTTTAAGTTGCAGGTGATGTTGGGAGGTCAGTCCAGGACCACACTTCGCGAAGCCGTCGCCGTCTTCCGGAGAGCCCGGTGGAGGAGGCTAAGATTCGATTTACGGCCTCTGGGTTTCGCGATCAATTCCCCCTTCCGCTCTCTCAAGGCCACAGGGAGACCCTCGGCAACGTCCAACCCCCGGGCGCGTTGTCAAGCTGCCGAAAGCGGGGCCTCCCGATCGCCATCCCCGAGGGTGCCTTGCGCGGCAGACGCCC